TTACAGACAAAGGGCTTCTCACTAAATACTTACTCTGCAGGATCATCAGATTTAATCAAAAAGGTCTATTAATTGGTCTACTAAAGAATCTGTATTTTATGTTGTTGGACCTCTTACAGTACCAATTTGATTCTGACCTTGAAGAGGCAAAAAAGTTTCTAAAAACAGTATACGAGATTTTTGAGGAGACCAGTGGCAAGCAAAATAGTAGAATCGTAGGAGATGTCTCAAATCAAAGGAATTGAACTTAGAATGGCTGAAAAAATTACGTTTTTTTCTTCTAATTTGAAGTTTATTGTTTTGTTGAAGGAATGTTTAACGTGAAATAACCACATTGACTAAATAATAAACTATTTAAGACTCAAGATTAAATGGAAAACTTCTGTTTTGTTTTGATTTCAAACCATATGTTAAAGATGATTTATTCTAAACTTTTTTGTTTATTTACTAACATTTTTAATTTGAGATATATTGTAGTGTTTAATCAATATTTTCTATGTAGTGGACTAACCTCAACGGCCACTCTTGGAAAACAACCTGGGAATAAAGATGAAATAGGTTCGTACAGGCAATATATTTGTTCATTAAGTAAGTGCAGTGTCAATTTCCAATGGGCAGAAAAACAATATTGTTCGTATGAGATTTTAACCAGGTACTGCCTTTAGCTCCAAGCAAAAAAGGTTCAAATAATATACCCTAGCATGCACGGTGGTAAAGGGAGCATCCATATAACAGTAAAACCTTGAGGTATTTTCCATTTCTTAACCAAAAATTTGCATGTAGAAGATGCTGATGAGATATAATTTCGTAATTGATTTTGATAACTGGGTAGCCTAATAGAATCGTAACCAGTCGCAAAATAGTTAGGAATCAGCCGTTGATTAGGCCCTTTTTTGATAAAATATGTAGTCATTACCTGTAGGAGGATTACCACCACATAATCTTACACTAGGTACTCTTATAGTTTTTTTTTTTTTTTTTTTTTTTTTTTTTTTTTTTTTTTTTTTTTTTATTGATCAGAAACAAATCTAGTGTTAAGTTTGGTCAATGAGATGTCTTTACCTTTCATTAATTTCGTTAAACCTTTACAAAAGGAGCACCAACTTAGACATAATAACTGGGTCGGGGTGCTAATTTAGCAGTTTTGACCAAGAACTAAAGCTTATCTCAACACACCTTTATTTGCATTTTCATATTTTACGAAGATAATTTCTAATAATTTAATCAGGGAAGCCTTTTTTAGCATCATCAACCAAAATACCAATGCTACCTTAGGAAACCAATATTAATTCACAAACATGTTTGCTGCCTTTAGCGGAGTTAAACCTTTGTAATAATTCAAATATTTTATTGAAAATAACATCAACAAAAGCAAACTATAACAAACAACAAACTGTTTTTGACACAACAGAAATCCTGTACTGGGATATCTATCGTGACAAATAGATTCTGAGTTTGTTTAGGTTTAAATATTACAATAATTTGTTTTACATTTGAGCTTTTTAGGGACTAATGTCCCTACAAGCCACTAGTGGTTTGTTAATGATTTGGGCTAATGGATTTCTAAATGATGCCACTGACAAGACTCATATAGAAATGTGGGAAATATTAAATAACAGATATAACTGAAATAATATGTTCATTAGAGCCTTATTATGCGCGGCCACTCGAGTCGCGCGCGACCGCCAGTCGCTTGGGGTAGCGACAGATGTGGCGAGGCCACGCGACTGACCGAATGTGTTACAGACATACATGTAGTTTCTCAGAGTGAATAAGTAAAGAAGCTGAAGGCGTCATAAACGTAGACAAAACAAAAGTATTGGGAGGCAATCTGTTACTAAAAGTAAGAGCTCAGGGGTATTTTTCAGTGTTTATATGATGATTTCAGAGATGACGACAAGATGTATTTTGGTTGTTTCCGGGAGAACGAGACGTTCTTTTTATAACCTTTTAGGAAGAATATGAGGCAACTTATCCGTATCACATAAGAAAATGAATAATTTTATTTCAGCTAGGGAGAAGCAAGCACTTACCTTAAATTAAATATTATAATGGTGGTTGACTTGATTTAATCATAATATTAATACAATATTAGCAGCAAAACTCGGCGTTGCCCAGGTCAAGAAAGTATTCACAATAATGGTAATAATTGAGTAATACAGACAGTATCTTGAACTTAACTGAAAAAAAATGGTCAACATCTCAAATGAAAGCCTTTGTTTTGAGGGGTAGTCCTGTTTTAAGACTAAGACATGTAAAATAACTAGGTACAAATGGAGTTACGTATCATTGATTGCAGATAAGTGTTAAAATAATAATTATTATTGTTGATTCGTGATTCAGTAGCGTGCTTCACGTACGTCCGATCTTAATAATTAATAGCTCAAAATTAAAGCTGGCATTTTACTGAATGTTCTTAGAGCAAAACATATAGGATAATGCAATCAGAACTGGCGAAATACGGCTTTAATTAAAGTAAGAATTTTTTTAAATCGGATTTACATTTTTGGTCGAGTCATACAGTAGATACATGAATGATCATGCTTGGTGGCAAATCTGTTTGTGAATACCTTTAATTTAAGACCAATATTATGAAAATTGGTCAGGTAGAGGAGACGAACCGACTCGGAAAAGAAAACCAATATTTATTAATATATAGATAATATAATTAATATAATAAAATGCTGAAACAAAAATCAGGACTGATGCAGTGGTAAAAGAATTACGTTCAGTGGTAGGTTTAAGGGAGAAATAGTCTTAATCCCAAAAATACTGATGATTTCATCAGAATTACCCTCTGAATTTAAGCAACTACAATTTCCTTAGTGTCTTGCTTTTGCAATCACCATTATAAGGCACTAGTGCAATCCCTGACTATCGTCGGTTTAAATGTAGAAAGAACATGCTTTTCACACAGTCAGATGTATTTTGTTAGCGCAGCAAGGCACGCCGGATAACTGCTAGTATATAAATGAAATATTATCACATGGGGCTTCTTCTACCTGTGCATGATAAGAGTTCACAATGGCCTAGATGCCTAGGTCTAATTTGATTGTAGAGGTAACACATACAAATAGTTGTAGGCTCTGTAAAAATAAATGGTAGCCTACAGCTCAATCACCATTCTGCCGGTAATACAGCTCTCAGGGGATATTGCATTTATTAAGCAATTACATTAAAAGGAAATTATTAGGATCACAGTCAAAGAGTGACATGATTTGGAAATAGCAAAATCTATAAAACTAGAAAAGATTTGTCCCCTTCGCATGGAGTGTCACTCTGTATTAGTTTTGTTTGTAACCTACAATGATAGATGGGTATGCTACACACTATAGTAAAAGCAGGGCCGAAGCAATGGGGAAGGGTGGGCCACTTGCCCTAAGCCGCAAATTTTGGGTGGTGGCCAAATTGAGGCTGCTGTACAATTTGTTTTAACCTTACTATAGGCCTACATAAATGTATTAAAGTGACCTAGCTAATATAAAATATTTATATGAATTCAGTGGTGAGGTGCAGGGATGGGAGCGGAGGACATAAAAATTCAAGGCGTTTAAAGACTACTTAAGGACAAAGTGGTTTCTATATTTATATGTTTAAAGTGAAGCCCACTCTACTTCTGATCCCCTCTCCGCAGTTGAGGTCCCAGGGGGGGGGGTGGGAGGGGAATATCCCCCCGAAATATTTTACATTTTATTAGCTAACATAAATACTATTATCCTGAGCATATTTTAGAGCTCAAATACTTATAAAATATGTTTTTAGGATTTAAATTCCACTTTTTTCTGGGGGGGGGACTCCGCACCCCTTTTTTGTGGGGAATATTCCATACCCCCAGACCCCCCGGTGGTCATATTCCCCCCAAAATTAAATCCTGGGACCATCACTGCCTCTCTGCTCCTTGATTGACCCTTTTTTTTACATATATATATTTTTCTTTAATTGCTTTAACTTCTTTCTATATTGTAGTGAACTTAATGTTAATTTAGAAAACTCGGAGACAGAGCCTATATTAATAGACAATGGCTGTAGAATCTAGTTTGTTTCCTTACAATCAATGACAATAATCATCTTTAAATAAACCTTCAACACGATTTTTGCTGGATTAATTAACATTTCAAAATGGCGGATCCAAGATGGTGGCTGAAAAAATTTCATAACCAAGTGAAAATAGGTAGACAATGGCTGGTGGTGTATACTTATCTTTATCTAGAACTATTTTGATATTATGGTCTTAGTTTGTAAATGCACAATGTTAAAATGAGCTAAATATAAAGTTATAAAAAGCCCTCCATACTTGATACTTTATACTTTTCAATGAAATGGCGACCATACAAAGTAGGTATTTTAAGCCAAGTATATATAAATGGAGATGAGTGTAGTATGATTGGCGCAATCTTGTAGTCTTATTAGTGACTAAGGCCGACTTACTATTGTACATAACCTTGGAATGGATCAAGATAAAAAAAAAAATGGATTGTGGCATTAAAATTGTAAAGATCTAGTTGGAAAAAATGGGTCACAACTCCACCTTTACATCCAAAAAAAGTATTTTGTATCCAATATGGTGAATCCAAGATGGCGACCGGAAATTACCACCTAGTCAAAATGAAGTACTTACTACCCAACAAAGTTTGGAAGTGGTCTGGGATTTATAATTATTGAAAAATGTAGAAAAAATTCAGAGGGGGGACAATTAGAAACTCACCCTGTATGATAGTATAGAAGATAGTTTGAATGTATTAAAATTAGGAAATATTGAACACAAGTAATTTGATTAAAAATAACAAATTTAAGTACATATGAATTGACTGGGTAGCTTGAATAGTTAGTGTTGCACTTGAAATCTAATGGTTGCCGATTTAATCCCAAGCATTCTGCTCTCTAGACCCAGATGTTATAATTCTATCAATTTGCAAGATGGTATTTAATAAAAAGACCAATGATCGAAGACCAGATTTAGGCTGCTCATAGTTGATTTGGACATAAACAAAAACTATAAGTACGGTAAGTAGAATATACATTTATTGTCACAATATTTTAGGGTACATAATATTTACTCAAAATATATTATTGGCTACGCTACAATCAACTACCAGCATATGTTTGCAATGGGAATTTAGATTGAGCCTCAGGGGGTTTCCCATAGCTTATGATAATAAAAAGGATAAACTGTTTCTATGTAATGATATGTCACAGTTTTATTACAATTTTGAATTTATGTTTGATACCTTAATTTTCTTTTCACCACACACCCTATAACAAAAGGTGTTAAGCATTCGAATGGGAATTCGTTTAGCAGATCAACTACCTACTTTCCTTAAAGGATGTTTTAGATTTTTGGGCTGCCAAATTACAAGGTAAATTTACCTTAAAAATATAATTCTTTTTGTAAAATTGTCAGTTTTCCCACCATTTTTGTTTTTAAAGCCGTGCTATTTTTTTTTAACTATAATCTAGAGAAGGACATTATCATAATGTATATTTGAAAGACATAGCATAGGTAATCTAGAAGAGTAACATTACATAGGTATACCTTGAACACTGTTACACAAAAATAATTAAAACTAAAATACGAACAATACATGTAGTAATATGCTGAAACTTAACTCATCATTTTGTTCATAAATTGGTCAAGTGAAAATTGTATCTGAACGTATAAAAAGTCTGCAGAATTAGAATATTCTTTTTGTTAGGTCTCAATTTCTTGAGGATTTACTTTTAGTTTAATGGAGTAGGCTTAACTATCTACAAACAATGAGTAAGTACCGTACCTTTATGAAGTAGTTATGATATTTGAATGCTCTAGAGTGTTAGAATGCTCTCAGTTATGTCTACTTCATCTTTGGCAGGGAGAAAAATTTGCTGAAAGATCATTACTACAGCAGTTGACTCTAACTCTTAGTCTACAGCCATACCTGGCGACTTGGTCGCCATGACAAAGGACAAAAGTAATATTAAATTACAAGGAGTTGGCCACACTAAGCAACGACCATTGGCGACAGAAAACTAAATGTCTCCAGAAGCGTCTTTTGGTCGCAGCTGTGTCAACAAATAAGCTCACCATGTTATCTTACGACAGTGGCCACAAAAAGCGACGAGTACTGCACTGTTTTCATGTGTACTGTATATTGATCAGCTGGCAGTGGTAAAAATGGAAAATATAAAGTTAAAATATAGATATTTTCATTGACGAAATGAGCGTGCATATATGAGAAGTAGCTTTTAAGGATTGAGTATATTCTCTTCTGGTGCAATAGGAATCTGAAACGTGATTTTTTTAAGCATTGCGCGTTGTCTTCAATGTCATTATGTCATCCAAAAATACTACAGTAGGCCTACATAAAATTACAGTTTTAAAGTACAAGTACATCATCCCTAAACAATGTTGTTGGGGTTTTATAAAAACAATGTTTCAGAAACTTCACTCCATACCTGGGGTCTCTCTTCATTTTTATATAGTCTATAAAGCAACAGAGCATTATACTGTGATTGAGTGATAAGACGTCACCAATTGGTTTTAGAAACAAGATATAAACCGTACAACAATTACTTTGATAGAAAATTCTTTTAATTCAGGTTAGTGGTTAAAAACTATAACGAGACCAAGTAGGCTACAAAATATGAAGAAGGCGCTGCTGCACGTATACAAATACTGTAACTATAACTAGGCCTATCTATTTATTTATTACATAAGCCGATTCTTTGCGTCAAAATTGTGGGCGACTTAGACGTCGTAGAATGACGGGAGAGGGCTCAAATTAAAGGTCTCAAGTTTATGCTCAAAAGGACCGTTATTTGCCTTTTCATATTTGACGAAGTCAATTTCCAATGTTTGAGTTTGTTAAAATAGTACAATAATTTATTTTACATTTGAGCTTTTTAGGTACTTATTTCCCTACAAGCCACTAGTATGATTTAATTTGTACAAGATCCGCTTAAATTGTATAATAATAATAATGCAAATAATAATAAAAGCATTGTATGTATTGGATGTCTAATCCAAAAGCATGAAAAAAGGGTCTTATGCTTTTATTTCTGTTATCAGTTATAAATTTTTTTAAAGAATATAACATCTCTAAACTCTTTTTACTGGTAGGCCTGGCCTAATGCTAAAAAGTTAACTGAAATGTTGAAATTTTAGCCTAGTGTGGCCACCTCTAGGGACCAAAAAAGTCCCCATGACAAGTCGCTAAGTGAACATTGTAGCCTTGAGAACAACTCAGAACATGACCCTTGTTAGAAATAATTTCAAGTTTAAACAGTTAAAAATTTATTTAAAGAAGGAAAATGTTTCAAAATTACAAAGTAAATGTTATAATTTAGTAAATAAATCACAATCATTGTAAATAGCATTCAATGTATCCATCAGGGCTGTAGAGTACCATTCTAAATTCTAATTCTTCGAAGGTTGCAACATAAGTGTTCATTTTATCTGGCAAGAATTTTCTTGTTTAATCACGAGTGATCCATCTGACATATTATATTTAAATACATGTTTAAAACTTGTGACTATATTTTGAAACAACAGTTTAACCAATTTGGGTCAGTTTTTCCAAAAATCAAGCTATATTTATAAAAGAGGAAGTTTGTATATATGTATATATTTGAACGTTGTGGACTCCAAACCGCTCGACAGATTGTAATGAAACTTTCAGGCATTATTAAGCATTATTCAAGGATGGTTTGTGTGAAGTTTGGTGCAGATCCGTCAAAAGGGCTCCGCCCCAGTGGCTCTGGAGTTTTCCATGTTAACCTTATCTTATACGTCGACTCTTATGCATTTCTTCGTAATACGCAAACTCCTCCTAGACGGCTGAATAAATCGTTTTTAAATTTTGCATGGTGATAAAGACCATACCGGTGAGTGCCAACATCTATATGGCGTTAAAAGGTCTCTCAGGAATCCGCCCCACTGGGTCTCAAAGTTTCAATGTAATCCTTATGGAAGCAGTATTTGACACATAAACAAAGACATATGATCAGCTGTTGACTTTTGAAAGCAGTAGATAAAGAAATAGCTGATAGCATTATTCCACAGATATTGGAACTGAAACGGTATAGATCATAAATATAATCAAATGTCGACACTAGCTTGAGGTCCGTGACGTAGGAAGTGGTGAAGGAAGTAGTAAAGGTAAGCAGTCTGGAGTGTGGAAACTGTTTATGACGATTAGATTAAGGTATCTGCATTCCTAAAATTCTATAGGAAGGGGGAAAACAGTTCCGCGACGTAGGAAGTGCCGAAGTGGTGAAGTAAGTAGTAAAGGTGAGCTGTTCGGGGTGTGGGATCTGTTTAAGACCATTATATTAAGGTATTTGCAATCCTATGATGCTATGGGAAGGGAGGGAAACAGGTCCGAGACGTAGGAAAGTAAAGGAAGTAGTAAAGGCAAGCAGTCCGGACTGTGGGAACTGTTTGTGACGAATAGATTAAGGTATCTGCAATTCTAAAATGCTATGGAAAGGGAGGGAAACAGGTCCGTGACATAGGAAGTGGTGAAGGAAGTAGTAAAGGCGAGCAGTCCGGAGTGTGGGAACTGTTTATGACTATTAGATAAAGGTTATTTTTTCCAAAAATGAATAGGTTTATAAATTAGAAAACCAGATGTCAGGGCCAAAAATTCCGTTTTATCTTATATCCTGTTTCAATCTCAGTAATTGTATGTTTCAATCAGGATAAAAATCCTGCATAGTATGGAAACACTGAAACAAACAAAGTAGTATTGTACAACAATAACATCTTGTCCAGTGTTAGAACAGGCTAAGTCTGGTTAGTTTAAGTTGCTAAGGAAAATTAGTAAATATGTGTCCAATCAAAACAGCTTTAGATGAGAGTGACAGTCTATTATCATACTAACAAAGTACCTTGCCTAGTAAAAATTATGTGCTAGGAAATGAAACGAGGAAAGGCTTCATTTACATGTGATTGTGTTAATTTGAAGCTGTTGTTAGTTCAGTCTAATTATACTATAGATGTTACAATAGTGTGCCAAGTGGCGCAAACCAAAAAGTACTATATTGGACAACTTTTATGTCACGCTAGCATTTTTTAATAGACAAGGCCTATATTTCACAGAGAAGAATTTTGCTCCGCTCCTTGTACGAGGGCTATCCAGAAAGTAGATTACGTTTTTGTCGGTATCCGCTAGGGGCGGGGCTAGCGCGTCCATCTTGGTGTTAGTTTGTTATGCAGCTCAGTCAGCATCTAGCCGTACTAGTAAGAGGTTTCTGCTGTATTCCGTTGAGTTACTGTGACAGTTGAAAATTTCTGTGTTAGTTGAAAATGCCGCGAACTGTGAAGTGCGTGCAGTTATAAGGTTTTTGACTGCAAAAAAACGTAAACCAAAAGAAATCTATCGGCAACTTTGTGAAGTTTTAAGGAAAACATTATTACTGAAGGTGGAGTTCCTCAGTTGGCCACCAAATTCAAAAATGGCCGAACTAACGTTCACCACGAAGAGCGAAGTGGAAGACTGTGTCATTGTGACTGCCAAACTTGTCAAAAAAGTCGATGCCGATGTCCCGAAAACTCAAAAGTTCACAATAACAGAACTCTCTATGGGTTTTCCAAAACATTTCGTGAAGTTTGTTGAACGAAATAATAACCGAAAAATTTGGTTACCAAACTGTAACCAAAGAGTCCATTCATTTTTTTTCCCACACTTCACAGTTCGCGGAATTTTTAATTAACAAAGAAATTTCAAACTGTCACAGTAACTCAACGGAGTAACAGAAACCTCTTACTAGCACGGCTAGATGCCGACTTAGCTGCATAACGAACTAACACCAAGATGGTCAGCCCCGCCCCTAGCGGATACAGACGAAAACGTAATCTACTTTCTGGATAGCCCTCGTATATTTAAGTCTTTACACTGAATGAGTTAATATATGATCAGTTAATGATTCACTATCCCTAAACGATCTGATACAAAAAATGCAGTGGAAATGTAATTTCTTTGAATTTACTTTATTAAATTTACCTCTGACTCTTGTAGTTTGACGTAAAAGTTTCTTAATAAAGACTGAGTGAATGTACTTATGAACCAACAGATGCATAACAGCATTTTCCTTTGATTTGTAAACGTTGCAGCAGATCTTACAAATGTGAAGATTTTCACTTATTTTTTCTACCTGAGTATTTACATTATATCTAAAGAGTTTGCTTGGAGTTACTTTTTGAGCCCAGGATTTAGAATGAAGCAAGATATGTTTCTTCAGAGCTCCTCTTCCAAAAAATTCCCGACATAATTTGCACTGTAAAAGTTGTTCAGTATAATATTCTTCACTGTGACTCAAAAACTTATTTGTTCCAGAGATTTGTTTCGGAAGATCACTGTTACTTGATCCATTCAATTCAGGTTTCTCACTATGACACGAGATATGATGACTCAAGTCCTGATCATCTTTGAAAATGGAGTTGCAAACAGAACACTGTGAATACATTAGGTGAGTTTTCAGATGGTTCTTCTGATGCAACTTCAAGCTGAAAACTTCATTACAGATATAACACTTGAGCGGTTTGGTTTCCAAGTGTGTCTTGATGTGATCCTTAAATGATTGAATTTGATAAAAGGACTTGTTACAAATATCACATCTAAATAGTTGCTCACTTACATGACGTAATTGGTGAGCCTTTAAGGTTTGCTTAGCAGTAAAACTCTTGTCACACAAAGCACATTGGTAGGGCTTAACTCTGCTGTGAGTCTTCATATGAACATCCAGTCTACCTTTTATCGTAAAACCTTTGTTGCAAATAGAACACTTATGAGGTCTTTCCCCAGTATGATTGAATGTGTGAACCCTCAACAATACTTTTCGGGAGAATGCTTTATTACAAACATTGCATTTGAAGGGCCGTTCTCCACGGTGTTGTCGAAGGTGATAGTGCAGTTGGCCGCGGAATCTGTATTTTTTGTCGCATTGAGTACACTGGTAAGGTTTTTCAACACTGTGAGTTTTCTTGTGGCATCTCAGGGATTCAGCAAATGTATACGTTTTTCCGCATTCTTCACATTGATACGGGCGCTCACCGGAATGAATCTTCATATGGACCTTTAAATAACCTTTAAACACAAATTCTTTATTGCAGACAGGACACTTTTCAGCTGGTCCATTCTTCTCATCATGGTTTTTAACGTGTCGTTTAAAGCTTCCATTATGCCGGAATGATTTTTGACAGATTGGACACTTGTGTTTTAATGTATCAGAATGAGTCAATAAGTGGATTCTTAAACATTTTTTCTGGATAAATGTTTTATTACATATTTCACACATGTGGGGGCGTTCTCCTTTATGCCTTTGTAGATGTTCCTTGAACTTTGAATTGATCGGAAAACCTAAATTACAAATATTACAAACAAACGGATACTGCCCAGTATGCTTGTACTGGTGAACTTTTAAAGCGCCGTTTGTACCAAATGTCTTATTGCAAATGGAGCATCGAAATTCAAGCTTCTTGAGTTGTTTTGGGATATCTGTATCACTTTTAGTTCTTGAAATACATTTAATGGATCTGTCTTTATTTTGATCTAATAAGTCTTTTGCGTGCTCTAACATGTGCACATTTAAACTATTCACACTATCAACTGTTTTATTGCAGAACGCACAAATAATTTCCTTAGACACTTGTTGTTCCATTGTCTTAACAATTTATAATTGTGTTTGTAAAAGTAAATACCAATAACATTTTTCTATTTATTTCTTGGGGAAATATGTCAACAAATTTTTAGCTTTCTTAAAGGAGAGATTCCAAACTACAGTAAAGATTCAATTTATTGATGCAAGTTTTTCAATTGAATATTTTTTTTTGTTATTTGTTGACCAACATTAGTCTATTTCTGCTCAAAGCTTCTTTTTGATCCATGTTCACTTCCTGTAACAGAGAAAATAAATTAGTCTAATTGAAGCTATTCTTATAAATAGGAGACATTTTCTAATTTAGGCTTCAAGTTACAATTTTGGCTCCATCTAACTTTTCCATAAGGGGGTCGTGGTTTCTTTGGAGTACGGAATAACTCTTAGTAAAGAAGGGTGTCCAGAAAAATGTAGGTAGGCCAAATGGTTAAAGATGCACATAGTCCAGTAAAATAAGACATTTTGGTATGCAAAAGGTCGGGTAGTTCTGATTTTTTGATATGTTGTTAGTATTGGGCCCATAACATAAAATCCAAGTTATCCACCTCGAGATCCTGCCGCTCGCCGCGGGGCGCGCCACTTGTTATCGAAATATCAAAAATCTGACCATTCCTGTGGGTTTTCACTCGATCTCGCGAACAGTTGATTTTACCGAAAGTATTACTTTATATAATTAAACGAGGATAAATTTGTGACAGTTTAAGCCCAACAGCAAGTATGTAGCGTAAATAATGGTCACAATACAGACCATCAAAATAAATAAATTTTCCAAATACGTATAAAAATTGTGGTTTTTTCAATATGTCCACAATATAGTTAATTGAAGCAAACACCGTATTGATTTACAGAGTATGCCAGTTTATTTGCTATTAATAGAAAATAAATGAAAGTATGAATGAAAATATCCCCACCTCAGCAAACCTGCAGACTAAGCAAATTTCCATTTGCTTGATTTGATTTTCACAAACCTATTTAAATAACATTAGGTTTAACTGGTATGTACCTAGGTTTGCTGCTATAGGGAGGGTAATATTGTATATAAAATAATAATAGTATGATAAGAAACAAATAAATTTACCCAATTTTATAAAAATGTGTCTATAAATAAGGAAAAAACAATAATTAAAATCTTTGCTATTGGAATAACTTGAGGTTGTTTAATTTTCTCCGTAACCAATAACTGTAAAAACATTTTAATGTACTAAATTATTTGTTTTTAAACCCTACAAAATGGTTTAGAGACTCATTGTAAAATTGTATGTTTTGAGGACCAAAAATACGAAAAACCCGTTCTTAACAAAAACCCCATAAAGCAACCGTTCCCATGGCCTGATCATGCTTCGCGAACTCGTTTTAATAAATGTAGGTTTACATGCCGAAAAACAGACCTTCAAATATACCTTCAACGGCAAAACTACTCTTTCCAAAGCTGTCAAATGTTTATACATAAACATTTAAGCTAAGCTTTGGGTACAATACTTTCACATGAAAACAAAATAAAACAGTGTATAACATAGTTAACAGTTTATTGAGGCTTAAAGATCAGGCAAATGAGATCTTCCAATCACAATCACTCTACAGATCTTCCATGCAGCGGGTAATTTTTCCACGCCAAGTGCGCCCATCTATACAGGGCATGCTGAATATGAATTAATTGAAAAACATGATTGATATTGAAGAACACAACAAATTCACAAACATCGGAAATTTCACTACAAGACGTACAGACGAGTTCTGGTGTGATACTGGTCTGATACTATTGTTCAAATGGATGAGTAATAATCATTTCGTGCTGTGTAGAGTATACTTCAACGTTTTAGTTTCGTACGTTGGCAATAAGTTGCGTACACCTATTTGACCTTGAACATAGTTTTGGTAATAAATTATAATACGAATAATAAAATATTAATGATAAAAATGAGTAAAAATAGCTTGCATGTCTGCAGGGCTACAAATGGTTCGCATATTGAGGTGTGATCGTGTTAAAATAACTTTTATTTTATTACCTTTCATTTAATGTATCAGCATAGCCTTCTCTATGGTATCAGTCGTTAAACAGTAGTTTGTATCTAGTACAATAAATAAATAAATTTTCTAACTAGGTAAGTTTTTTGCAGACCCTGTATAAAAAAAAAACTAAAGATTTTACTAAACTGTATCCAAAAAAGTTATTATCGTCCGTTAGCACGATGATTCCCAAAAATCATCCGATTTAATGGAATTTTGGTACAAACATTACTTTTATTTGTGAATCAAGAGATGGACTATTTATTATTTAGTTTGTATTGTAAGTGACTTAGCCTATTGCTTTTGCTTAGTGGCTTAATGAATCATTGAATCATCTAAACGTACATTTATTTATTAAAACGAGTTATTAAAAGCATGATCGGCATCGGCCATAGGAACGGTTGCTTTATAGGTATTTTGCCGGTAAGAATATTTTTTTTTTTTTTCATTTTTAACCCTCAAAACATACAATTTTACAATTGTATCATTAAAGAATTTTGTAGAGCTTAAAAACTAATAATTTAGTACATTAAAATGTTTTTTTACAGTTATTGGTTACGGAGAAAATTAAAAAATGTAAATTAAAAAACCTCAAGTTATTCCAATAGCGAAGATGTTTAATTATTGTTTTTACCTTAATTATAGACACATTTTTATAAAATTGGGTAAATTGATTTGTTTCTTATCATACTATTATTATTTTATATACTATATTACCCTCCCTGTAGCAGAAATGTGGGCTATCATCATGCCAAATTTCAGCCTGATCCGACCAGTAGTTTTCGCGTTTACTTTTCCCATACACACACACAGACACCACCTCTTTTTTATAATAGTATAGATATTACCCTCCCTGTAGCAGAAAACCTAGGTACCAGTTAAACCTAATGTTATTTGAATAGGTTTGTGAAAATCAAATCAAGCTACTGGAAATTCGCTTAGTCTGCAGGTTTGCTGAGGTGGGGGTATTTTTATTCATACTTTCATTTATTTTCTATTAATAACAAATAAACTGGCATACTCTCTAATTCAATACGGTGTTTGCTTCAAACAACTATATTGTGGACATATTGAAAAAACCACAATTTTTATACGTCTTTGGAAAATTTATTTATTTTGATGGTCTGTATTATGACTATTATTTACGCTACATACTTGCTGTTGGGCTTAAACTGCCACAAATTTATTCTTCTTTAATGTAATAATATAAAATTTCCGGTAAAATCAACGGTTCGCAAGATTGAGTGAAAAACAATAGGAATTGCCATATTTTTTTATAATTCGATAACAAGTGGTGCGCCCCGCGGCGAGCGGCAGCATCTCGAGGTGGATAACTTGGATTTTATGTTATGGGCCCAATACTAACAACATATCCAAAAATCAGAACTACCCGACCTTTTGCACAGCAACCCCATTTTTTCTGACAGATTTACTGGACTACACAGTTTTATACCCTTTTTAAATTGTTTTTAAAATTGATTTCAAAACTTACTTAGGCCTGCTGGCTACTGTATAGGGCCTACAGCAGGTGAATCACCCTTTGTTTAACACTCATTCTTTGACATGGTCTGGTGGTTTATTTATATTACGTTTTTACTGCAAATCTTAAAAAAATTCTACATTCAAAATTTTACATGGGGTTGCATAGGCAGAGTCAAGCCCCTCCTCTCCAGCCATATTAATGGACACCCATGTTTGACCTATATACTCCCCCCTCCTCTGTATCCACTGTGCCATCAGGGTAATTGTATATTGTACTAGACTTATTACAAATCAATCAACCTACAGGTAACTTCATGTTAAGAAATCATATTACAAACAGTATACAGATTATCGATGAGCACAATCAAACATTTAAAAAGACAACAATAAAATTATGTTAGCTACTGTATATTCAACGATGTGTGCTGTAATTGTTGCGAGATGGGTTTTGAAACGTTCCAATTGTTTTATCTATTTGTCATGTTATAGAATGCTTATAGTTGAATAGATACAACTTCCGTATCGGCGTGGTGGGGCTATCTGACGTTCAAGTAAGAGGGAGAACTGCCAGGTTGTCTACCAGACCAATAAGAGCGAGGAGAGCCTGACGCGGTTTCCATAGCAACAGGCGCTGTTGCCATATCGCTCAGCAACTCCACGCACGCACGCACATGTGCAGTTCCTCCAGTGTTATGATAGATGACAGTGACTACTTCGAGTAAAACAGTATACTGTCCGCGAGAGTTCAGTCTCCTAAGCTCCAAAACAAACATTTTTATGTTGGAATAGTATATTCTATCACTAGAGCCTCAAAAGCCACTTTTTGCTCGCGTGCTGAGCTATATTCTTCATCATGTTGCCTCATCAAACATAGCTAGAAAATAAAATAATGATTATGTAGAGATAACCTATCAAAACTACTCCCAGCTTGTTTTCAATATAGTAATATTGTGATAGTAATATTTATACATGTTTAAAGATTTAAGGCATAGTGATATTACTGCGCAAAAAAGATAAAATTACAAAATTGAGGTTTATGTCTAAAAAACAAAAACCGTGTGTAATACATTTTAAAGTGAAACCAATTAATCTTTTTTATGATTTTTTTCAATTATTTCTCAATTCCAAATATACTAAGAATTATAGTGCTTTATACATATTATTTCGCGAAATTTTGAGTTTATGCGTAACTTTTTCTTTTAAAAAGGAAAATATGTCCTTTGCCTGTTTGCTCAACTCAGCTATAGTTTTTACATAGGTAAGCAATGGACAAATCAAAACAGAACTCTGTAGGTGAAGACACGAGACTGCACCGAATCAAATGACGCGACCACCCACTCATCATAACAAAGATGATACGAGTAATGATGTTTACAACAGATGTTTACAGATATATACAGTATATGCCGAGGGCCAGAGGGCAGGAACTCTCAGTAGTGCCGTTGCGTTGTCTGCGTCCAGTGTTGTTGTCGTGAGTGGTTTTGGGAATTACATGGTGTAATATCGTGTTAAATCTGTTGTTTCATATTACGTTGTGTTATCATATTAATACTGATGGAAAGAAGAGGAGGCGCTAGTGTTAATAAACGAGGGCGTCCTCGCGTTCGGCCAGTGAGACCATCACCTTACACCAAAGTTGGCCAGGGATCTGCTTTACGCAGCCAGTCACGGGAACTTGTGGTTAATGTACGGAATTTTTTTCAGCGAGAAAAGGATAACAGGGCTATTTTAATACCATTAGAGAGGGTA